CATTAACCTGTTCAAAGGACAATCGCAGCATTTCAGCTACAAAGTGCAAGAAGTACTAGTGCATGATGAAGTTTGTAGCAAAAAGGGGGTTTAATTATCTCTGCTCTTTTAATACCTATTGCTTTTCATCCTGTAATCTCAGGCAACACTTCTCACTCATGGTGTGCCTGTGAAGGAGAACACATTCAGTGTCTGGCACAGCCCTTCTTGCAAGTGTTCTTCTGAGGCTCCTCTTTCTTCTCCCACTTCTGAAAATATATAATTACGATTTGCAACATGCAAAATGCCTCAGCAGAAGATCAGCATTTCAAGGTCGCTTACATTTTTTAAAAATGCTGTTTCCTCATCACATCATAAAAATACTTTTGTTCCCACTTAGTTTATCATAACTTTGGATGTGTTAGTTGGTGGGATTGTTCACAGAGCAGTGAGTGCAGAGCAAGGCGACTACTTCCACTGGACTTAGTAAAACCTAGCCTACTACTACTTCACTGAACAGAAACAAGTTTTCCTCAAGCAGGGGATTATTCAGTTTAGCCATAGGCTCATTTGTATCAGATTCTGTCATCACAGGGTCATGAGGTGACTTAATGTTGTTCCACAGCTTCCAGAACCAAAGTCCAAGAAAGAGAAAAAACCCACAATCCCTAAGTCTTCAACTCAGTTGAAGACTTTTCCTTCTTCCTGGCAAAAAACGCAGCATCAGCAGCATTATGTAACTCCCACACATTGCAGACCCTAGGAGCCATTGTTTCTAAAGCATCAGGCTCTGCAATTCCCATTTTCACACTGTTCCCCAATGTCTCTCCCAAAAACTTCTACCTATAAGCAGCCTAGAGGCTTTCATGCCCTTTTAACAAGGGCCTTGCTTCCTTAACAGAATCCTCACTATCAGATCTTCAGTCTTAATTCCTATGGATGTCCTGTATCTCCCAGCAAGACTATTTCCCTTCTCATGTGGTTTGTGTCCACTCCCTTCACGTAGGATGAATAAAACAGAATAAAGGTTGAACTCCTGTTCCTCTGAGGGGTCCAGCTCACCACACGACAGGATGGTGGGCACATTTGCTGGTTTGTCCCATCGGCATCGAAATGCTCATTCCAACCCAAGCTTCTGGGACAGTGGCTGCAGCTCAGCAAAGCAGATAGACACGCTTACCTTGAAACACGAGAACAGCCCCCAGGAGTCAAAGTAGTGACATTGCCTACTCACCTACCTAAATGCTTAACTGCATCAGAGCTGATGTGACCTAGCTTTGGCCCTGAATTTAAATGCTGGAGGCAGAGTTTTTTTGGTTGCTGCTTTAAAGGACCATAGTAAGCCTCCTTTTTCAGATACTGAACTCCGGCAGGTTTAGTAAATGTCAGGGGAAATCATGAGTCCTTTGGAAATGTCTGAAATTTAGGCACACAATGTGTAAAGGAAGATTGTACAAAAAATGCAGCCAAATAACTAAATCTTGGCAATAAAACAGCCATTTACTGAGGAAACAGCATTCAGAGAAGAGAAATTAACTGGGAAGTACTATTTTGTAAAATTATTTGTCCAATTTCCATGTTAGCTATCAGCAAATCTTGGAAATTGCCTTGGAGATTTCCAGTCACTGAAACACTGTTGCCAGCTCTCTATTTCCATGCCACAGAGATAGCAAAGCTCCACTGAACAGTCCTCCCCTGCCTCCATGCTGCTTTTACACATCCTTTCCGATATTTTCTACATGGTACTGTTTTTAAACAATAAAAAACTTCCACCTGGCATGGGACACTGTCGCTCTCCCTCTCTCCATTTCTGAAGCACAGTAGGATCCGTGATTCACCATTGCTATGTGTACAGAATGAAGGGGCTGCAGACTGGCTCCAGAAAAAAAAAAAAAGTAGATGTACAAGACCACTACTATGAGACATAAAGCCAGCTCCACCAGCCCTGCACTGCAGCACACACTTCTTGGTACAGAGAGAGTCATGAGGGCTTGAAAAGAGACCCTAGAAAGCTGCATTTCTGCCAGTCCTCCTGAGATTCACTGGAGCAGGATCATAAAGTTAGGTCTCTATTTATTGCCACATTAACTCCACTGAATAGGAGTAGGCCGGGTACAAGCACTAAAACAAGAACAAGTCTGGCCTTTAATCCAAACCCTGAGACTTGACACAAGCATAGAAATGTAATAGTAAATATATTTTTTTAAAAGGTTCCATTTCCTTTGAATGCACTTATCTCTAGGGTTGCAGCTGCCAGCCAAAATCTCTCCATCACCAGAGATAAATAGTGAGATCATGAGATCATATCCTCTAAAATTAATTCCCTGGTATTCAGTTTCTCCAGCTTCCATCCATGAATTCTGCAAAAATGCTTCAGGAAACATACTCCATCTCAGCTAAAGATTACTTGTTAATAAACAAGATTATTTTATGAACATAGAAATTAGAGAAGGTCAATAAACAAACCCTATTTTAATAACATCTTTTGCATTGTTCCCCCAAGAGAACCAGAGCAGCTAGTGAATTTGTGTTTGTATGAGACCTCCAGCTCCACATACTCTGCTGCTGTTAATCAGTGCTCTTAATTGCTCTGGGGCAAGCCTATTTGCATCAGAGGATAAGGCCTCCCCTGGATTGGTGTCAAAGACAACTATGCTAAAACAAGCAATAGTAATACTGATACAAAACAGAAATAAGGTGCAGGAGAACACGGTGCTCTCCAGGAAGGGCAGAGTGCATCTTAGGCAGAAAGGTTACAAGTTTTTAGAAGTAGGTTGCAATTAAATCATCCACCAGTGAGTGAGTGAATGGTCATTTTTTTGGCTGAGAAATAAAAGCAAAAAAGCTTAACAGTCTGTTAAAACATTTTATCCCTCTGCATGGCCATTTTCACCCTGTCTATCCATGGCCTGCCTTTTGAGGTATCACTGTATTAAAAATCTTCTTCACTGAAGGTACTTCCACACTGCAGCAGATGTCACTGACTTGGCAGTATAGGAAGGGTCTATTAAAAGTAATGCAATTAATTACTTGTGCTGTCATCACAGCACTGTTTTGAGATATTTAAAATGGTTTATTATTGATAGCCTTAGGCTGGAATGTGCCGAGCACCTTCACACTCACCCATGGATGTGGAGACAAGGGCCAGCACAGGCTCCCCAGACACGGAGCATCCCCATGTCTCCTCCTGACATGGCTGCTCTGTGTGGCACTCAGCAGTGACACCAATTCTAGGAGACCTGGCCCAGCAGCAGGCAAAGTGGCGAGCCCTGGGTGTCTGGAATACTGAATCCTGTATCAGTTGATGATTTGGGGAAGCGATATTCACGGCAGCCTTGGTAGGACCTGCAGCAGAGCGGAGGAGCATGGCAAGAAGGGAGCAGCAGAGAGGAACTGTGATGTACTGACCCTGAGTCCACTCCCCTTCGCCTTGCTGAAGGGACTGATCACACACAACCTGTGGTGATAACAAGGGTGAAGAGCGGACTCAGGGTGAAGGAGCAAAATTGAGCCTGGGAAAGCAGGAAGGAAAGGTGTTTTCTCAAAGTGTTTTAGTGTTTGTCATTTTGCTTTCCAATACCCAAATAATTAAACACATAAATAATTGGCAGTATATTAAGTCAATTTTCCTCAAGTCCAGCCTGTTTTGCCTGTGATGGTCACTGAAAGTGATCTCCCTGTCTTCATTTCAGCACATAATACTTATCATTCTCTACCCCTGTGGAGGGGGAGAGAGAGTGAGCAGCTGATGGGAGTTTGGCTGGAAGCTATGGCCATTCCACCACACTTAGATACCAAATATCTCACACGGACAAATACTGAACCATGTGCAAGGAACTGGGAACTACAGCAACTATGGAAGCCTCAATGGAAGGCAATGGGTCTTGGTGGTCTTTGAGCACTGAACTCAGCCAGAGCTAGACCACCACCTTTGCTAAGCTGCCTGGCTGCACCTTATTTCTTCATGAGGAAGTGTCTCTTGGGTTCTGCTAAATTTCTGCCAGCACATTTGACTTCCATCTTGGGACAGAAAATGCAATATAGCAAAGCATCTTTGAAAAACTGCTGAGCTCTATTCTGTGGCAGTAATGACGGCATCTATTGCCCATAAAATAAAAAGGAACAAATTCTGAGAGGCGAAAAAAATACCTATAGGCATACAGAGAGAAGTAAGAGTAATCTACTCTTTGGGTCTCTAAAGCACAAATCTTTGGTTAATTTCAGTTGCTGATATTGCTGCAGTTTGTTTCGTTTTAAACATACTCCCAGCAAACAAAAAAGAAGCATCAGGGTTAGATTATAGGAGATAATTTACACACAACTTCCTTTCAAAATTGATTTTAAAATGTCTCAGATGGTATGAGGCAGGTCATGTGAACTAAGATCTCCCTAAACAACTGTAAACAGAGTATGAGTAAATATGAATCTGAAATATGAAAAGAGGGGGACGTCTCCAGGCATCTTTCTCAGCCTCCTCCCTCGGTGATATGGAAGATAGTCATCAGCACATTAATGATGGTCCTGTATTAAAGGGGAAGTTTTCTCAAGTGCTACCAAGGGTCAAGAAATATTACAAAGGAAGTAATATAAGTGTGGTTAAAGTGGAAAGAAAATGGAACACAAGCGGATTTAGGACCTTGCCTGAAGTCTACTGAATTCAGGGTAGAAAGCCCTTGACTCAGTGATGCTTTAGATCTTTCTTGAGTGAGAAGTATTCAAACTAGCATTTCCTCTGCAGGAAACAAACCTGCAGATACTCCTCTAAGCCTAGAAACAAATCAGAGAAACAACAATAATGAAAATTAAGTAGAAGTGAAAGGAGGGAGCTAGCTAGGTATGACCATGTCATACAGTTTGACAGCTATGTCAGCTAATATATTTTGGACTGCAAACACATATATGACATGGTGCTGTGCCAAGTGATCCAGGCTAGCTTTAAAAGAGGTAGTTGTGTAACCAAAACCTCTATGGCCATGATTGCTTGGCACCCCATTTGATCTCGGAGGAGTAGAATGTTTTACCTCAGTAGCAGGCAGCATCAGAGCAGCTTGCGAGCGTGGCCAGCAGAACTGCGTGCTGGCAAAACCCAGACTGACTGATTTTCAGCTACCACACAGGTCTCCACCCATGAAGTTTTCCCAGCTGCTGAACAAAAGGCTGTGGGGAAAAAAAAATCTGACACCCAGGAACCATCTGTACAGATTATCATGGCTGGTTGCACTCACTTGAAGAGCTGAAGTGTTCTTGGTAGCTGTTAGAAGATCTGCTAGATGCTGTCTGCTGGCCACAGTGGTGTTCCCAATGAGATGAACGTCTCTTCCTTGGAATACAAAAAGGCTGTGCTTGATCCCAAAGTAGAGACTGTGGATGAACAGGCTAAATTTACCTCTGTTTGAACTCTGAATTCACATGAGAAATTCACCATTTGAGTGTCATTCTATTCTGCACCGATTTCTCTTTTTCTCCCCCTCTTTCTGCCTGTTGAAAGAAATGGATTAATTGGAAATCAGTTGACCTTCTGTTGTTTAAGACTGAGACTTACTTGTTGTGTTCATGCAAGGTGGCACAGAACTAAGCAGACATCTAACCTAGACAGGCAGGCTTTTATGTTATGTAAAGCATAAGCAGATTTCAAAGTAAAGCCACTATTAACCTCTGCCTAATTTTTTCTAAAAGGATTTTTTAAAGAATTTGAAAGTGGTGCAAAGCAAAAACTGTATTTCACAGTAAGGCCTGTTAATCAAATACCAGTGAGACAATGCATGACTCAAGCATACTGAAATGTTTTCCTTCATCTGTCTTTCCACTTACAGGATCACAAAATCACAGAATGGGTAAGGTTGGAAGGCACTACAGTGGTTCAAAGCAGAGTCATCCTAAAGCACACTGGACAGAATTCTTGAGTATCTCCAGTGAGGGAGACTCCATAATCTCTCTGGGCAATCTGTTCCAGTGCATGGTCACCCACACAGTAACGAAGTTCTTCCTTATGTTGAGGTGAAACTTCCTATGTTCCTGTTTCTGCTCATTGCCTCTTGTCCTATTGCTCGGCACCTCTGAGAAGAGCCTCGATCCATCCTCTTGACACCCTCCCTTCAGACAGTTATGTACATTGATGAGGTCCCCTCTCAGTTGCCTCTTCTCAAGGCTGAACAGGCCCAGCTTCCTCAGCCTTTCCTTGAAAGAGAGATGCTTCAGATCCCTAATCATCTTTGTGGCCCTCCACTGGGCCCACTCCAGGAGCTCCATGTCCCTCTTGTGCTGAGGAGTCCAGAACTGGACACAGCACTCAGGTTGTGGCATCACCAAGGCTGAGTAGAGGGGCAGGATCACCTCCCTTGACCTGCTGGTAATGCTCTTCCTGATGCACCCCAGGACCCCATGGGCTTTCTTGGCCACAAAGGCACACTACTGGCTCATGGACAGCTTGCTGTCCACCAGGACTCCCACGTCCTTCTCCAAAGAGCTGCTTTCCAGCAGGTTGGCCCTCAGCCCGTACTGGTGCCTGAGGTTATTCCTCCCCAGGTACAGGACCCTGCACTTCCCTTTGTTGAATTTCAGATAGTTCTTCTCTGCTCACCTTTCCAACCTGTCAGGGTCCTTCTGAAGAGCTGCACAGCACTCCAGGGTGTCGGCCAGTCCGCTTAGGTTGAATCTCTTGCTCCATATGCTGCATACCTTGATCCTCAGCACATCTACATATTCCTGTAATAGTAATAACCATAACTATTCTGAGATAGCAGAGGGTGCTACTCCAGGGAAGATTAGCTTAAGGTGTAAGTCTTAAGAATTTACTACTTAGGTTGGGAAACAACAGTTGAATATAAAGAAGCAATTGTACTACTACTTTCTTCTCTCTTAATCATGTGCTAGAAGCTTCTTATTAAGGATATTTAAGAGACGTGTGTGACAAATTACTGCCTCAATGCTTTTCCTTATGGGCACTGCCACAATTGTGCCCTCACAAATCCAGCCAGCAACATTTTAGCATTCTGCCAGGAGCAGACCAGAGAATGAACTAGGACGCACAGTTTACTTTCTAGCAGTTTAGTCCCCAAAGAGTGTAAGTGCCCATATTCCTCTCCAATATCATCATACTATCTGATGCACAACAGTTGGGTGCTCTACCTCATCACGTGCTTTTCCCTGTGCTGTGAATCAATCCTGTTTTTTTTTTTAAACCACTTTGAATATTCCCTCAGATTTCTGTATTAGTAAGAGCTGATCAAAACTTCCATAATGTGGAGAAGTCCAATGATGATGAAGTCCTAAGACACTACACTAGGAATGTTAACGTTTCTAACATGCTTCTGGTTCAGATGCAGCTAGAGGTAGGCACATTCAAACAGCCACTCATTAAAATTAAACCAAGCTTAAAATAGACAGGCTGTACAGCTTCGATGTGAATATTTGTTTCTCTATTTTCTCTTAAGTCTTGCAATCTGATTCCTCCATCCAGCTATACAGGATGCTGATCTCACATCTGCATAAGATACTGACCAACCTAAGGCAGTACCAACTTCAGAAATAGACTTTCCATCCTCTCTGAAAGATGTCAAAACATTCAAGTTTGCTTTATAATTAAAAATACAAAAAATGGCAAAAGAAAATACTGAAATTGTTTTCCAAAGTGCTTTGTACCAACTTAGATTGTATGAAACATCTAAAATTATAATTGGAATGAGATGCTTTTGGCTTGTCAAATTTAAAAAAGGTTCAAAAACTTTCCTTGGAATTTTAAACAGAATGTGCCTGTGTATGTGAAATACTTCTGTTTTACTTAACCATCAATTTCTAACACCAAACCTGTTTGCTTGAAAATTTTCAGCTGTTTTGCTTTAGTACTTTTTTTCCTGTCCTCTGAACAGCTGACTGTTTTCACAATTTTCAGTTAACAAGCAGGACATAATTAAACATAAACAAATTACCACTGCAGCATAACTTGATGGGAGAGGAGTTACCTCACTGGTACCATGCAGCATATTCAGGGCTCTGAATTAGATAAGAACAGTGTGGTTTAGCTTCTCCCACCCAGAGATTCAGTGACTCCGGTTTCTCCCAAAAAGACATGAACCAGAGCAAGAGTTCACACTAAAAACCACACTGACAAAACAGCACGTTCAAATTTAAAGGGAAGTTTTACATTTAACCAGCTATGGTGTTTGTCTCTGTAGTCCTGGTACATTTTATGTAACAAATTACTCAGTCTTCTGATGCCCACAGAAGAAAACAGCCTTTTGACACCCATCTGCCCAGGAGGATGGGCTGAGAACAGAGATTCATTTCAAGCTGCATTCTTCACATTTCATGGTGAAACTGTGATATTATACCACACAAGGCCTATTTAAGAATTTAATAAAACTGCACAGGTCTGTTTTATGCCCTTTAATGTTCCTTCAGGTTTAAGTACTGAACTTTGAAATGATATATATTTTCAATACATGTTTATCTGTCCACCTGATTAAATTTCAGGGGAACAATCATTAAATGAGTATCTATGTTACAATAATTTCAATGACTGTGTGTAGGTCAATTTTGAGTGCTTTTTTTTTTTAATATAGTTTTGTAAAAGCAACCTTTATAGCTATGCATATTGAAACAAGTTTCTAAAAGGAATTTTGCAGGAATATTTAGCTTTGAAAGCACAGATAGCCTAGAGAGAAGAGTGTTCTCTGCCCAGTACCTAGTGGACATTTCCTGTATCAGAGCAGGGCACAACACTCTGAACATGGTGCTGCAATAATGCAATGCTAGAGTTAATGTGACAAGCTGCAGACATCACCAAAGCAAAATACTTTAATACAAAACTCATTTCTGTCTCCCCTTCTGCTGCTTATCCTGCAAGACAGTTCTCTGCCCAAAATGGGTCTTCACCTGGTATGGGCTTAATCTGAGTAACAGGGAAAGAAAAGCACCAGAACAAGATATAAGGGATCTTTGTAAGTTGCAGCTCACCTCTATGATTCCTTGCGTTTTCCATCCTTGAATAGCTCTGAACAACCATGCTGTGAGCAGCCTTTGTCCTTTACAGATGGGACTGGTCTGGCCTCAGAAGCAACCCACTTTGTGAATAGCTCTGCTACGTGAGTCCTGATTTCAACCTGTCCTTTACAGCAGACAGCAAACAAAGGAAGAGAAAAAAAGGCAAAAAAAGAAACCCAACTATCTAATATTGTCTCAGTTTAAAAAATATGAGTGACTGCAAGAGTCAGGTACTTTTACAGCCAACCACATTCCTAGTATCCCTATGCACAGTCTGTGTAATTCGTAGTATGTTTTATCCATCCTTCAGTAAATCCATCTGTACGTATGCTATAGTTACCACAGGGAAGTTAAAAATACATCTAGGTGTAGCAATACATAAGGCAGATCCTCACCAGTACAACTAGGAAATGAGTAATCCCCCACTCTCCTGAACAATTCTTCACAATGACAACTCCCTCCTTCCCACACACCTACACTCTCACACGCCTGGAGAAGTCGGGGGCGGGGGAAAGCTGAGCTTTGCAATGTTGTCTAGAAGCTCATCAGATCCAGGCTACTTCCAAATAAAGGAGGGAGCAAGTTCAAAGCCTCTGCTGATCTCTGCTATGAACTTGCATTATGCTCAGAGATGCCTGCACTTGCTGCCGAGACATGAGTCTGTGGAGCCAGAGAAGAAGGTGTACGAACAGGAAATAAAAACTTCAGGAAATATAAACAAGATGGGAGGGAACCCCCAAACCTACTCAGGTGACTTGCAGTACTGGAACACTAACTTGAACTGACAGGAGACAGTCGCAACCAAGCCCAAGCAAACTGCAGTGGCTCCAAGCAGCGGCAGAAGATGCTGAGGGGGAGCAAAGACTGAAGCGAGGAGATGCATAGAGGGGATGTAATCCTGGCACTGCTGTTGACATCATCATGCCTTGTGGATCTGAAAGGTTCCAAGTGGAAGCTGCTTTGCAGCATTGGCTTCCCCCCTCCCTCCCTCCCTAAATGCATGCACTTTTTAAGTCTCTGGTATTCAGATCCTAGATATTGTACTGGGAACTTAAGAAACAGCCTTCCAGAAGAAGATTAAGATATTTCAGCAACTATGAGGAAAACACAGTTGAGGATAAGCTGTGTAGTTTGCCACATCATCTCCCTTCTACAAAGTGTTAGAGGATTCTGAATTGAGACAAAGATTGCCCAGATTCTGCCACGAGCCTGGGCCTGGATTCTTTGCAGCATCCATCGAATGTAGAGAATCAGTTCACTGCCTAGAAATGGATCTACAAACACAGACCTTGCGTTTGCTCTGACAAGTACTGTGACAACAGTTGAGGCAGGTCCCCTCTGAAAGCTTTATCTGGTCCTTGAGTATCATTACAGCAGGGAAGAGGAATGAGGAAAAAACAGGTACTTGCATGCTTGAGATCCAAAACAACTTTAAGCAGAAATAGGTTCCTACTGCCCTCTGCTGTAACATGCTTACAGCACTCCTGAGAAGGAAGCACCAAGCACGACAGCCTGACGTGCACACTGGGCGTTACAGTCAGCCTGTATTAAAACTGCGGTAAGTGGAACAAGACAGCTAGAAACCATAGGCTTTGGTTTCTTTTTGCTGCTTTTGATTCCTTAAGTGGATACACACTTCCCATACACACACAGAAAATGGACAACAGGCTGATCAGTTCTTGGTATATTTTTATGAGGCTCTGTATTCTGGATTATTATATACCCATACTTTGCAGTTCCAATGGATAGCCTTGATGGTATAATTTTTGGGGATTTTCTTCTACTTTAGGACCTCCCAGATGTTGACCAAGACTGTTCCAAATTACTGGTAAGTCTCCCTAACAAAATGCCCCAGTGAGGCTGTCTGGAGCTTCTTTTGCACTGCACAATCACTACAGCACCAGAAACACACCAAATTTTCCTAGCAGTGAAAGGGTTTGCTTTGACTGTACAACCCAAGTGGTTTATATACATTTAAAAAGGAAATAACAAATATAGCCTAATTCATCATCTCCTTATAAGACAGCAATATCACTTAGGTAACAGGTAACAAAGAATGCTGGTCATGATGCAATGCTGATGCCTCTTTGCAAGTTGATCCACTGCTTTCAGTTCTTTTTCCAGTACTTATTGATGTTCCTTTAAAGCTTTGTAATTTATAGACACTTTTACAGAGCTACAGGCTTACACAGCAAAACTTGAACTTTTTCTTTCATTCATTTTCTTCTGTGTTCTTTCCCTTTACTACTGAAACATCAACAAGACTAAATTTACTGAAGCTGGCTAAGATAAACTGTGTTTCTTCTCTTGACTCTACTGTTGATGCAAGCAAAATCACTTGCGATAGAAAACAAGGTATTTTCAGGGGCAGTAAACAAGATGCATCTATTTAGTTTGATACCACAGCCCTCCCCCCTCCCAAAGTAAAACAGACATCACAATGATGGGAGGGAACAGTACCACAGTGTGACAATTTTAGCTTGGCATCATGCATGTGTGAAAGACTGCATATGTAACATATTGTCACACATACAGAGGCTACACGTAAATATAAACAGAGGCTGAGATTCTCAATGCCACTTGGGTGTACACATACTTCGCATTAGAAGGGAGAGGAACTGGACATTCAAATCACTCCAAAGGACTTGAAAGCCTCTTCTGGGAATAGTTTGTGGCACCAGCATTTACTCTTGCTTGTAATTTCATTCTTAAAGTCTTTTCAATACCTCTGCATGCAGCTATATTTAAGTCAGAGTAAAATTCTATGTCAAGGCTGCAGCATGTGGGACACTGCATGGGCAAGATATTGACCCAGAGATAAATCCACACCTGCACTTATCTCACACAATGCTAACAAGATTCCTTGCCTTTCTACCACCCTCTCTAAACTTTGGATCAAGTTTCCTGCATGAGATGCTATCCCTTCAAAGAAAAGAGAACATAATTACAGCTCTCTCTCAAATGGCCCGAGGCATTCAATTTTTCTTCTCTCTTTTTTTTTTTTTTTTTTTTTTTTAACATCTGCATTCAACTTATGAAACTCACAGAAAGGACAAACAGCAACTTAATGAGGCATTTTAGTTATGGGAAATCCTGGGAAAAAAATTGCAGAACAGAACCTGCAGGCAACTTCTAGTGAGATCTGTGATTCTGTGAGATTTTCAGTATAATGCCAAATTACTGAAGTAAATATGTTCAAGAAATGGTAGAGATCTTTTTTAAGACCTGCTTCTGATCTTAAACTGTGTCTGTAGTATACAGACATGGAGATGAATGCCTGCTACTTACCCCAGTGTTAACTCTTTAGATTTCGGTTGGGTTTAGGTTCTTGCAGGGTGATGTTCTTCGCTTTCTTAGCAAACAATCCTACTTCAACAATTTTTCTGGATGACATTAAAAATGCATTTTGCCCACATAAAAAAAAAAAAAATTCCTGCAAATAAGAACAGGCTTTGAAGAAAGTTTCTTTGGAGTCTGGGATGTGGCTTTAGGGAAAGAGTGCCCTAGCATGGGTGATTTCCCATCTCTTTGTGCAGGATTTGTCACCTTGGCCCCAGGAGCTGCGGTTGGTGCCTGGATGGGCTGGCCACAGCTGCTTGGGCCCTGACATACTGTGGGACCATCTATGCTATCTTCTTCCTTCCAACCACAACTTGTAAAAATGTGGGAAATTATGTCAAAAGTTAGCATTAGGAAGGATTAAAAGATTGATCAGTCAGACAGATAACGGTCAAAAATGCTTAGGGACCACCCTCCTTCATGTAAACTTACTTGGGGCACCACGAAGCATCTTGTCTTCAAATGCAGCGTGAGATACACGATGCCAGCCCACGTCTGTTTAAAGGCTGGTTGTCTTTGACACAGTGGGGTTAAGTCTGTTTGGACCTCAGAGACCCACAACCACTTTGGGAACAGTAGCTAAAGTTCACAAGTATGTGATTCCAGGGGCTCTCTGCTAACCATGCCCTATGCTTCACCGGCAGCCAGGGCTGTGTGTGTGTGCCAGACACTGCAAGAAGCTCGTGTGAGAGCTGCAGTATCTTACTCCTTCCTGAAAGTGTTCAAGGACAGATTGGATGGGGCTTTGAACAACCTGGACTAGCGAAGGTGTTCCTGCCCATGGCAATAGGGTTGGAACTAGATCATCTTTAAGGTCCCTTCCAACCCAAACCATTCTGTGATTCTGAGAATATGTGGGAAAGAACTGGGGAGACTTGTCTATACCACAGACATCATAAGTTTTGGTAAGCATCTGGTTCCTATCTGGTGTTGATTCTTAACTAAGGGTACACCAGAACTAATGGCAAAGCTTGGGGGATAAAATAGTAGGTCAAAAGCCACATTCTGCTTTGAAATGCAACCATGTGATTTTGCTGAGGTCAAAGAACACTGGAAAAAAGATGGTTATTTTCTTTTAATAAGAATAGACGTGTGGAATGTGTGACAAAACACTGCTTTGCTAACCCTAAGGGACCAGGAAACTTCTCAAGAAAGGATCAGACATGTAGAGGCTCTAGCTACTGACTGGAGAAAGCATGCATGAACAGGATAAAGATGTGAAACAGTTAAGGAAAGATTAGAGCTGGCATTAACGTACTTTGCTCCTGTTTATGATCCTGATCTGGATAAGTGATTGAACACTTCCATAAAGTTCAGTACACAAATAGTCCTAATGACTGAAAAGGAACTAGCTCTATGTTTAATTAAAAATGCACTTAGGTTCTCCACAGAATCAGTGTTTAAAAGGATTAAGGAATGCTAATCCATATAAAAGCTTCCTTCTAGGTTATATACTTGAGGAATGTGATTGAATAAATTGATGCGAAAGGCTAATTTCTATACTGTTCTACACTAATTTTCAATAGTGCAAAACTACAAAAAGATAAAGCAAAACCAACTGAACCCTAACACGAGAAAGATCTATTGGTTTTAAAAGCTGTACTCATGTCACAGGATGGTAGTAGCATGTGAAATGGCAGATGTTTCTGGTTTCACTTTTATCTCCAGTTAATTCTCACATTTGCACAAAGCCTTCTCTTTTGTAACATCTATTTTACACGCTAGAGAAAAATACATATACAGCAAATCTTAAATTATATACTATTTCAGATCTTAAATTATATTCTATTCATCTTAGCATACAAATTATTTCATAGAGGTCGATTACCCAAGTGGAAGAAAAGGCCTGTCCTCTTGCTCCCACATGCTAATCTGATTAAACAAATCTATCTGAACAACTGATAGGTACTACTGTCTGCAGACTCTGCAAAGCCAAAGTCCGTATGTGGAAAAGGCTACAATACTTCTTCACCAACAGTTACAAAACCTGTGATTAGTGAAAGGCAGAGAAAAAGATCTGCTCTCTACTGGGAACATCATAAGCAGAGAG